AAAAAAAAAAAAAAAAAAAAAAACATATACATATACATATATCGTCATCACCGTGATGATGGGTCCGTTTCCCGCCCACCCCCCACTGCACCCCCTCCGTCCGACCCCCGGTATGCGAGAACCCCCACCAGCAACTCGAGGACACTGTTACCACCGCGCATCGCTTCAGCCACGTCTCCTATCTGACTGGCAATTGCAGAGCCGACGTCTGCGGTGGCTTTTGTCAGGCTACTGGCCGCTTTGTCGAGGCCATCGCAGTAAGACCGAGTGGAATCCTCCATGGCCCTGCTCAACGGCGTAGCAATGGTACTCGCCTTCCCCTTCTCCGTTCGCCGGATCTTTGCAGCACTGTCCGACTCGTCAGCACGCCTCTCCTCCGATCCACCACTCGTCGATGCGCTTCCCCCCCCCCCCCATTAGGTTCTTCGAAGCCAATGTTTTGTCGCACTTCATCGACAGCCGATCTAGTTGCCACTGCATAGCGTCCCACGATGCCTTCTCAAAGGACAGTGGGAGATTCTTCTCCTTTCGCTCCTCCAACGACAAATCCCAATACGACGGCTGGCCAGATGCTTCACACGATGAGCTTCGCCGTATGCAGCATGTTCGACCATTTCTTCCAGCAGTCCTCAACGCTCCTATGTTTCAACCCGGCCTCCTTCGTCCTATCGTTCACCCAAACATACCGCTCCTTCCTCTGCTTAAAACCGGGTTGCCCGCGGGCATCTGCCATGAGGGCATCATCCTCACCCATCAACATCGCAAGCTTTATCCGCCCATCCAACGTCCACGGTACGTTCTGTTTCTTCGGAGCCGGCGGACAAGCGTTCGCAGGCCGTCCGTTACCCGCCTCCCCCGCTCCACCACTATTCAGCACATCGCTTTGATCGCGAACGGGATCGACACTTCCTTGCTCCGCAACGCAGTCATCGTCACCTGCTTCAAAACCGCTGGCACCGTCATCGTAAGGCGGGTCCATTCGCGTGTCAAGGGACATCGGCCTCGACTCCGGTCGGGTCCAGGTACTCTCTCCATCATCATCAACTGCTGGAGACGGGGAAACCCTCGCCCCGAACAATCGCCACGGGCTCTGCCCACATTGTGGAGACCATGGCCTGCCACCCATGCCCATGGGACGCCATGCCGAAACCTGCACCGCTGGTCGGACCTTGTGCACACGGCATTCCTCCATACACGTCGGAAGGTTGATGTCCGTGCACAACATGGTCACCAACACCATACGAGTCCACCTGGTGCAACTCCCCCAGCGGACCTCCATGCACTGGACCGGCGTGCATGTGCTCACTGAACTGCCCGCCGTATGCTCCATGGAACGCAGACGACTGCATGGGCGCCGTTGCACGGAAACACGCACGTCCAGCCGGCGAAGCACATTGGCGACCACCGTTGAAAAGGGGCATGCTCGTTGTCGCTGGGCCGCTATACAGAGGCCGTGCGTGCAAATGCCCGTCCTGCATGTCACGACCACCGCCGAAAGCACCCTCGCCTCCCACTGTCCGCCGATTGGAGTCCATCGCACGACTCCCTGGTTGAAGAACGCCACCGCCTCCACGAAAGGCGAGACCTTGACCTGCCCCCTGATTAAAGCTGGACTATCGAAGCCTGCACACCAGGATGGCGACACCGAAGAAGAAGAGAAGTGACAAAAGCAACAACAAGCCGGCCGCAGCAGTTCGTGACGACAACGACAACAGGACACCCCACCGAAGAACACCACCCACACCCCCTGCCTCACCCGTGACGACAACCAGTCATGCCCTCTCCAATCCCAGTCACCACGTGTCCGCTGTTGGTCTGCTGCCGCTCCCCAACTCGGCTGCAACCCTGTGCTTGTTGAATCCACAAAGGACGACCTCCGCTGCACATCGGTTGTTGAGGCGACAGTGGTACGAGAGAAGGTGCTGTGGACGGCCGTGGAACAAGGGACGGGCCGGAGGACTATACGGGAGACGACAGAACCACGTCAGCGCATCCACCTCGACGATAGAAACCTCGAAACACTTCCCACCCAGGGAAGACAACAGGAGAGCGCAGCACTGTCCTTACTGTAGACGAGGCATCCGTATGCGAATGTCGGGGACATGGTAGAAGATGGCAGACCGGCGTCGCAGCACGACAGCAAAAAGAGGCACGGCCGAAACAATCGATGCGATGGAGCAGCCGCATGGCAGATCGACCGTCCACCTCGGCGTGCTGTTATGGCTTGCGAAGTCGTGGACTCACATCCTCGACGGCCATTCAAACGTGTGAGCGTCCCTCTATCGTCGGCCAACCACCCGCATGCAACGGCTTGCTTCTGTCGTTGGCCAGCCACCCGCCTGAACTGCAAATGCCCATTGCCTTTCGGAATTTGAATTTCGGCCACTGCCGAAATTCGAATTTCCGCGTTCCCGCCAACTGCCCACAGTGGAGGGTACCGCCGCACGGGTGATCCATGTGGTACCGCAGACGACCCGTCTGTGGGACTCGTGCGATGTCAAATGTCACCGCATTGCGGAGGCCTGGTCCAGCCTCTAGTCTGCGACGCCCATGCACTGGACCGAACCTTGCCACTCCCCGCCTTCCACAGTTGGCGCTTTGCCCCACCCTGCCAGAAAAGTCGAGTTTGGAAAAGGAATGCCGCATCCTGGCGGGGACTTTTCCAGCCGCGGACCGGGTAGAATCACGCCCGTCGTGCTTTCTAGGATGGCAGTGGGGTCTACAAAACACGTTCGCGTCTTTCCAAGCCACCTCCCGGCGGCCTGGTGGGGTCCGAAATCGGCTTTCCATTCCAAAAGTTTTCCGACTGCCGGCCAGTGGGGTCCAGGCATGAGTGAAAAAAAAAACAAGCGAGCCTGCTTTTGGCAGACGCCGCCAGGCATTTCTTTTTGGTACCCGAACACCCCCCTACTTAGCTTTTCAAGTTGGGAAAGGTACAGGTGGTTCAAAACCACCATAACTCCACCTAGTTATTGATGCCAACCCTAAATTCGCATATAAGAAGAAAAAAAAGAAGTGATGCGGGCCGACATGGTGAACCGTTTTAGTCTGGTACGTGAACCCCCCAAAAATGCGGTTGTTGACAAGCCGCGGCTTCGTTTTTCAAGCATGGGAAGGTACAAGTGGTCTGGTTGGAACCTAAGTGGCATTCAAGAGGTCGTGGGTTAAGTCCCTACTGACCATCTGCGACACTCTTAGTACTGCCCATTAACAGAGATAGTTAGCTTGCTCCCCCCCTTTCGCTATTGGTAGGGTCTTTGGCCATCACATGTGTGCGCGTGTGTGTGTGTCTCTTACATGTGGTGTGTGGGAGAGTGCTGACCAAAGACACTGATGTAACTCGATGGGGGGCGGGGGAATTAGATCGGAGTCGCGGCTACTGACAAAATGCTCTGTCTTTGTGTTAGCCGGTTTCTCTCACAAACGGTCCCACCCAGCTCCCTGACCACCGCCCATTAGGTCGGGGGAGTATTGGTAGGGTTGCAAGACTAATATTAAAAGGCAAAACATGAATGCTCAAAATCATTTTCACAACAAAACTACGCACAATACTTAGGGTTGTAGTTGCATATCATTTGGGGTTCACTGCAAATCAAAGAGTGTAGTTGAATATCTTTCGTGGAAAATGTGACGCCACGGTTTAAGAGAACTAGTGGTTCAACCACCAGGGAGTCACGTAAAAATCGACAAGTCATGCATTTTTTTTTTTACAACATAAAAACATTTCACCCATTCCATGATAAAATGTAATTGTCTACCGCGTGGGCGCGGGGAACGCAGCCCTAAGGTAGCCAAATCAATGAGACTAAGAGCTAACACGAGAGAGAGAGAGAGAGAGAGAGCTGTCTCTTATACACATCTAGATGTGTATAAGAGACAGGCGGGACCGACCTCCATGCGGTCCCAGTGCGACGTCCAAGCACGAGGGGGAACGGGAGGTACAACGGCACTATTTTTTTCAGCCTGCCGTTGGGCCCGTTAGTGCATTTGCGAAAACCGGGAGGACGATGAGGGCACATCGTCGTTGACGTCCAGCCATCGTGTGGTTGTGTTGTGCCCGCGTAGCGAGCCGTTCGTGACCTGCCATCACTCACGGGGTGCCGATCTGTGGGGGAGAGCTTCGGGACGGAAGGGACAGTGGGTGGCCATAGCCGATCGCGACTTTCTGGTGTGACGATTGCCATGGATGTTCGGGGAGGCGGGTTGTATGGCGAAGAGTGCGAGGATACGATGTTGATGGTGGCGTTTTTTATCATCCACTGGATGAACAGACGCAACGCAGCCGCCATGGCGGTCGTGGAGGCTGTTTCGGTGATGCCATTCCTGTCCCAAAACGTCTCCGCTGCGGTTGCACTACTCGCGGGGGGGACGTTGCATGGTTTTGCTCTGGGGGCTTTGGCGGCTGAGAAGGTGGGAAGGAGATTGGACCTTCGACGCCGTATGTGGGTGGTGGAGTGCAGTGGCGGTGTGTGGAAAGACCTCCAGCAAGTGGGGGCTGAGCACGATAAGGTGTTCACGCGGTTTTGCAGACTTCCACGCCCTCTCTTCTTGGAAGTTATGGATCGTATCAGCCCGCATATCCAACGTTCGCCCACGAATTTCAGATTGTCGATACCTGCCAGTCAGAAGTTTGCGTGCGCGATGATCAGGTGGGCGACCACCGGTTATTACAGGCAGTCCTCCCATGGATTGGGCATGGGCCTAGCGAGTGCTTTGCGCAGCAATGTGGAAGTAGCCGACGCCATCATCGCAGAGTACGGACATCTTCTGCGATTCCGGACAGGACAACGACTGGAAGACGTACTTCACGGGTTCGAGAGGAAAGGCTTCCCCGGGTGTGTAGGCGCAATAGATTGCACTCATTTGTATATCGAGAAGCCGAAGGGAGTGCAATCAGAGTGCTTTTACCACCATATTGGGGGGGTTTCTGTTGTGGCGCAGTTCGTGTGCGACCACGAGTGTCAGATCGTCAGTGTTTATGTCAGCTGTCCGGGCTCTGTGCACGATTCCAGAGCTCTACGTATGTCGCCACTGTTTGAGAATGCCACGGCAGGCAAAGGAGTGTTGGGTGAAGGAGGTGCGATACTGCACGATGGCAGACACATCGGCTGGTATTTGATAGGTGATCAAGGGTACCCGCTCCTCTCGTGGTTGATGACACCATTCGGCCGCTTTGCTAAAACGGCGGCGGATCGGGCGTTCGATGAGAGTCACAGTGCAGCAAGGTCGTGCATCGAGCGGACATTCGGGCTTCTGAAAGCCGTGTGGAGGAACTTCATCCGACGACACATTTGCAACCTGGCGACCATCATGAAGGAGTTCATGGCCGTGTGTATTCTACACAACCTTGTGATAGAGCGCAACGTCCAAATAGACCCGGCGTTGATGGGAGATAGCAGCAACAGCGAGGGGGGGGATGGTGGTGACAGCAACCTTCGGCGACGACGGCGACGCCGTCGATTCCACCGCCATCTTGCAGACTTGAACATTGAGGCCGTCCCTTTTGCCGACCCCACCTATGGCGGTGACCTTGCGAAGCACGCCATGGAGAGTTCGGTTGAACACGTACGTCACCACGTTGCAGTCCACGGCGCGCCGCCACCATGCCCGTGGCGGTAGTGCGGCCGTGTTCGATCGAAACGTTGTGTGAGAGTAGGCGGTGATAGTGGGCAGCGCTTTCAAATGCGGGGGGGTTGCGAAGGGAGGTCATGGGCAGTAGAAGAGTGGGCGGGGGTGTACGTGATGTGAGCGTCTTGCGGGCATGGTGCCTTTTTTGCTCCCTGGAGACGTTTGTTTCAAGTGTTTTAAAAATGACCCGCATACATTTCTGTTCCCTTAGGTTCTTCGATGAGAATGTGTTGTTGTTGTTGTTTTTTTTTTTTTATCCATCATTGAAATTCCCTTCTTCTCCTTGATCGTGAATCATGTCGCCCTGCCCTATCTATCCTCTCTCTCTCTCTCTCTCTCTTGCAAAATGTTGTTCAATTGCAAAACGAAAATAATAAATTGCAAGACACTGTTGTTCGATTGAAAAACAATGTTGTTCAAATAAAAAACAATGTTATGCAACAACGATCACACCTTCTTCGCTGCCAAAAGCATCGTCACACACATGCGACACAACACGGACTCGTTCAGTTGATTGCGATGGCGAAAAGAAAAGAAAATTAATGATGGGATAACCGACGTAATAGAAAATTGCAATCTGTGTACTCCGTAATGCATGACATTTCCACAGAAAACATTCGCAGGCATTCCCATGTGAGTAAACACAAACATGACATGAAGAACCTAATTGATGTCATAGCATTGATACCGGGAAAACAGAAATGCTCATCCTCACGTTTTTTCGCAGACGTGACGCGGACAATTTGAATTAAAGCCACTACAGTGGACGGCGTCCGCGCGGGCATTGATTGCTTCCTGCACAGGAAGGATTCACCCGCGTGGACGACATCATCATCCTCATCATCCTCATCATCCTCATCATCATCATCATCATCATCATAATCATCATAATCATCATCATCATCATCATCATCATCATCATCATCATCATCATCATCATCATCATCATCATCATCATCAACATCATCATCATCGTCATCGTCATCGTGACCTATNTCCTGGAAAGATCACAACAAAATCTACGAATACTCCAATTTTCAGGTTTTTTCACGCATTCTTCTGAGCGTGAAAACTCACTGAATTTGAAGTACTTTTTTAGTTGGCCCAGACATGGCTGAGAGGCAAAAATGGAAAATGTGTTGAATCGGCGTGACAATTATTTTGCAGTTTAAATGATTTTTTGTAAATGTTCTATTATTATTTCTGGAAAGAACACGACCTCATCTATGGATTCTCAAAATTTCAGATTTTTGTGCATGTTCTTCTGAGCACAGAAAATCATCAAAGTTGCCTCTTGCAAAACGCCTGTTTCGTTGTGCCTGACCTCCCTGTTTTGAGAAGACGGGGCTCAACGCCTGGGCCTGAGGGCCCTTTTGCAGATCACATGCCCTCACTTCTTTTTGGGGTCCGCTTCTATCCGAGGACCGGTCCAATGCCCCCACTTCTTTTGGGGGTCCACTTCCACCCGAGCACCGGTCCTTCGTTTTTCCAAAAGTCCCGGTTCTACCAGAGCTAGCTGTAGGTAGTCCGCAATTTTGCCAAGGACCGGTCCCCCAAATTTTTTTGCCCCCGAAGCTGCGAACAAATAGGGAAAAAAACACAGTGAATATGTTCAAATGTAAAAACTAAAATAAGTCTTTGGGATATTTGTTAAAATCGGGACAATACATTGAAGATTAGCATGGCCCCTGCGTTGGGATGACGCACATAAATTGAGAAACGAAGGAAAAAAAAAAGACAAAAGACTTGACAATCTTCAGACGCCGAGAATAACATGATTTTGTTGGCTTATAAGCCCAAAATTAGGTTATGAAGCTCATATTGACTTACCGTGAGGGCACGGTGTCGGGGCAAATACCCTTGTCAGGGTATTTGCCAGAGATTTTAAATGTCGGACGTTGTCCGACTCTTGCGTTGCAATGAAGGACTTGATGAGACTTACGTTTGTCAAAGCTCATTAAGACCAAACCTACGACTGAGCGACTAGAATTTTTGCTTAAGTCCAAACGTCCGCGGCATGCTATAGAGGCGGTGAGATCGATCACCAATCGCGTCTGGCGCAGACAAAGGGGCATCCGGGCGTTGGAATACTAAGTCTAATTTCTATCCTGCTTAAAATAATGATGCACGGCTTAGCAACCGCGTGATTCATAGCCTAAATGGCTAATAAGGACCATCGCACCAATGTGCAGCAGTGACATAGTAGGGGGAAACCGTTCCTATGGCGAAAGGAGGCCAAAAGGGCCTGCTATGCCATAGGCAGGCAGGATGGCTGGGTGTGGCTCTTCTTATAAGAGAACCGCCCCTACTATTCTCATAGTAGGAGCTAGCCCAGTAGGTAACATGCCAGTTTGATGCACCATGGATACTGGGATTGAATCTAACCTACCCTATTGGGCATAACTCCTTTTGTTGGAGCTACCGTGCGCCCAAAGGCAGAGGCACAATCAAACTCGACCGTGAGATCGACGAGATCTCGCGGTCAAAATCAACCGCGCGGCTATTAGCATGGCCCCTACGCAAGGATGACACGCGTTAATCGAGAAATAGTCCAAATTTATCATTTTCTTCTGGACTCGAACTCAAGTCTGCAAGGCGCATAAGGGGCTGGTGCAACGTAACCGTTGGCTTGAGGCTAACGGAGGGCGCCAAGTGGCGCAACTGGAAGTTGGAACTTCCAGAAGATAGGTGGGTGCCCATTTTTCTTTTACAGGTAGGTCTTGTTCTCATTTTTAGATTTTTTTTAGATTTCATTCTAGATTTTTTTTTATTCTTTTTCATTTTTTTTCGTTTCTACGAGCTTCTCAAAGTGCCCGTTCGTCGAAATGGAAGGGTTGAGTCTCGTAGCTGGCTGTTGGCCCTATGGTACTTCTATCGATAGGATGAGCATAATCGAATGGATCTACCCCTAGGACATGGAAAGATACATTGCACACTTGTGTGTATGTGTGTGTGTGTGTGTGTGTGTGTGTGTGTGTGTGTGTGTGTGTGTGT